CCAACTCAAACGCTAAATCTCTCCTCTGGGTGTCCGCATAACTCTTCTGCCTGCTCTGAGCCGTCTGAATGTTCTTTCTGATTTTAACTATTTTAGACGTGGTCTCCTCCACCAACTCCGGGTCGAACAATTTTCTGTCGCCCACTTCTTCCCAACAAATCGGCGATCTGCATGGGCGCCCATATAACGCCTCATACGGAGCCATGCCAATACTCGCTTGGTAGCTATTGTTGTAGGCAAATTCTATCAGAGGTAGATGGTCGTCCCAATGGCCCCCAGAGTCAAGGACACAAGCTCGAAGCATATCCTCAAGTGTACAGATTGTCCTTTCTGATTGTCCATCAATCTGAGGATGGAAGACAGTACTGAGAGACAACTTTGTTCCCATGGCCTGCTGAAAGCTACTCCAAAATCGAGAAGTGAACCTGGGGTCTATGTCGGATATCACTGTCACTGGAACTCCATACAATCTAACTATTTTCTGGATATACATCCTTGCCAGCTTGTCCAAAGGATCGGTCATCTTGATGGCTAGGAAGTGGGAAGACTCGGTAAGCCAATCAACAATTACTCAGATGGCGTCATGTCCCGAACATGCTTTGGGTAATCCCGTTACGAAGTCCATGGTGATATGTTCCCACTTCTACTCTGGGATAGGTAAAGGCTGAAGTAACCCGCCTGGGCGTTGATGCTCTGCCTTGACCTTCTGACATACTAAGTATTTAGATACAAAGTAAGCTATGTCCCTCTTCATCCCATTCCACCAAAACTGGAGTCGCATGCTTTGGTACATTTTGGTGCTTCCGGGATGCATGACAAACTTCGAGCTATAGGACTCTATCATGATGTCTCTCTTTAACTCACTGTTGTCTGGGACACACAACCTGTCCTGGAACCGGAGTAACCCATCGGCAGAGACTCAGAATTCTGAGCTCACTCCCTGTTCTGCATCATTCTTCCGGGCTACTAGGGCGGGGTCGACTGATTGGGTTTTCCTTATTCTCTGTATTAACTCGGGCTGGACGGTCAGACGGCCCAAACATGTGACTCTCTTCAGGTATTGAAGCTGAACCTGTTGTGTGGCCCCAATTTGCCTACGTTCTGAAACCATCAAATGGGCTAAGATACATGCACTTTTCCTGCTGAGAGCATCTGCCACC